AGATTTTATAATTCCAATGGAAAAATAGTACCGGTTTTTTTTTGTATGGGGAGGGATGCAGTCTAATGTACATACATGTGTATCACGGTGCAGCGAACAAAGGTGGCGCCGTCAGTGGTACCGCTACTTTGGTTTTTCCGATTTTGACAGTTGTGGTAACTTGTAAATAAACCTTTGTTTACAAATCAGCAAAAGAGAAATTTGAATTATAAGTGAAAATCGGTTTAAATTGTGTTAATTTGCAATTTGTGATCGATTTTTGAGTTAAAGACTGCGTAAAAACCAATACAATGAAGTGCTGTGTGTTAAAGTGCGACAGCCGCCAAGATGCAAGAAGCGTAGATGCAAGTGTAGCGCTGGGACGAATCGCTGCATTTTGTGTACATAGGGCACGGCAAAGCCGCTACCGAAATGTTTCTCTATTTTTATATTAGCAGCATTTCCTCACAATGATTTTGTTTCTGCTCCACGCAGCCTCCATTAGCAAGTTAACTAATAAATCGCGCAGAGATGCTGCTGCAGTTTTCTGCAGCAGCCTTAATTGCAAAGCAATAAAGTGCACTAAAACGTTTGCTGAAGCAGGCTCACTTGCAAAGCAATGGAGTGCACTCAAATGTTCACTGTTCTCTAATAGATTAGGTGAAAAATGCAATATTCTCACATTTAGCAAAATTACAACACGTTTTTCGCTGTAAAGTGAACTGCTTTGGCAGTTTCAACTCGTTCTTCTTTTCGCTCTATTCTTTGTTTACTTGTGGTACACAAATGTCAACGCCTTGTGTTCTATCATTCTTGCATGTGTATGTAATGTTGCATAACAAGCCAATTAATTCAATTATTTCTTTTCTTTTGTTTTTTTAACTGATTTTATGAATTAATACATTTATTTGTAATTTTTTATGGAATCGGCATCGGCATCGGCCGATTCTTTCCCCATAAGCCAATTAATCGGCATCGGTACCTGAAAAAAATTGGAATCGGTCGGACTCTGTACCCTGCAAAAAATTGTGCGACTAATCTCTAAAGAGAGTATTCCGGGATGAGTCTCAATCGGGTACAATTGGGCATTAATTAGTCGCAACTAGTCTCAAACGGGTATTATTGGAGATCAATTAGTCTCGACTCATCCCCTACGGGTACGATTGGAGGTTTTATAACAAAAGTTAATTATTTAAAAGAATTAATCACAGGAAGAAAAGTAAATTCTTTCCCTTTTTTAATAAGAATTAACATTAATAGCTAGTTACTAACTTTTTTTTTAGTAGTTCTTGTCAATTTCGTACATGGGCCTTATGAATAAAAAGCGAGAATTTGTTTTTTTTTATTTTAATTTTTCACCCTTTACTCGTTTTATTCAAAAAATTAAGTAAAAGCTCTGAAATATTAGGAAAAAGCAATTGTCTAGTTTTTATTCATAAGGCTCCATGTGCTTTGCAGTCCAATAAGGCAGTACACAAAAATTTTAAATTTTTACAAAAAACCCGAATTTATTCAAAATAATTTATAACAGAAGACAAAGTTAGATTGATAATTACTAAAAACTCAGCCTGGGCTAAACGCTTTTTGGAATTCCGTACATGTATTTTACACTCGCATAAGGCATACTGAAAATTTAGAAATTTTTACAAAAATATTTTATGAATTCAAAAGATTTTATTACCAAAAGAAAAGCAATTGAATTATCTTTCTTTTGATATACATAAACATTAATAATTGCTGAACACTTTTTAAAAAACATGCCTTAGCTAACAGCTTTGGGGAATTCCGTACATGTATTTTACACTCGCATAAGGCATACTGAAAAATTGCAAATTTGTACAAAAATAGCTTATAAATTCAAAATATTTTATTACCAAAAGAAAAGCAAATGAATTAGCTTTCTTTTGGTGTAAATAAATATTAATAATTGCCGAACACTTTTAAAAAAACATGCCTTAGCTAACAGCTTTGTGGAATTCCGTACATGTATTTTACACTCGGATAAGGCATACTGAAAAATTTCAAATTTTTACAAAAATATTTTATAAATTCAAAATATTTTATTACCAAAAGAAAAGCAAATGAATTAGCTTTCTTTTGATGTAAATAAATATTAATAATTGCCGAACACTTTTTAAAAAACATGCCTTGGCTAACAGCTTTGTGGAATTCCGTACATGTATTTTACACTTGCATAAGGCATAATTAAAATTTGCAAATTTTTACAAAAACATTTTATAAATTCAAAAGATTTTATTACCAAATTAAAAGCAATTGAATTACCTTTCTTTTCATATATGTACATAAACATATAAACACGCTAACTATGTAAATGCATACGAGCTCCTTTACAGTAGCTACACACGACGAGCATATCCGCGCACATGTGCGCCAATATGCTTGCTGTCGTTTGCTACAAACGGCGAGCGGCTCATAAGTGATTTAGTACTCAAAGCGTAAACATGTAAAGGAAAGACGCGGATGATGCAATTGAAATACTTATGACTTAGGGTTTTTTATGCATGTGTTACTTAAATTTATTTATTTTTTACTAATATGTATGTACATACATATACATATAGTAATTTAGCCTCATTTATCAAAAATTCAATTAACGCACATGGCTTGGATGCATTTATCCGCGATGCGCACACTGCAAGCATAAACACAAAATGAGGTTGTTGTTTTTGTTTCCAATGCGATGCTCGCAAACCACGCTACAAACGACGAGCATGCTCGCTGAAAATCAAAATTTTTTGATTTTTGGCGAGCATGCCCGCTGCGCATGTGCGCGGATATGCTCGTCGTGTGTAGCTACTGTTAAAGAGAACACTGATAAGCAAAGATAGTTTGTTGCTAGCCGGTACTGTGGACGCGAGTGAAGATGGTGGGAATCGAATTTTTCAACCCACTAGTTACGAGGAAAAGCTTTGTTCAACAATTAAATCACCTGTTGCAAAAGAACACAGTAAATTATGCACAGGTCAGGGTACTCTCAATAATTTACCTTTAAAGATGTATTAATTTAAAACACCAAGCTAAATTACTAATAGCGGTGTTATATTTATCCATATTGTCCAGCGCACAAAACCAAGAATATTCCTTCACAAACGCTTCCCGATTTATTCAAATTGAATTCAGTGCTGTCTTCAGTCTGCAACATCTCAACATCTTTGGTGACCACTTTTGTTGTTCCTACTCCACAACGCTTATAACTACAAAATAATGGAGCAATTATTATTTAGTAATTTCTGCATTTAATTGATAATACTTATCTGTTTATTTTGCTTGAACGATAATAATAACCCGGAGTAAATAAATAGTCTGTTCCTTTGAACTTCGGACTAAAACTAAAAAAACTACAATTTTACGCTCTCAAATGAAAGTAAAAGGAGAACAGATGCAGAAGTGCATTGGAACGCAAAAAGCACTATTTCCTGTAAAAACGTCAGACGGTTTGTTTACATGTCATTGGTACTACACTGATTTGGCTGAAATATCACTAAATAATTATTAAAATCTATACATATTCAAATATTTCGTTGTTTACTTTAATTTTTTAACAAATATAAGGTTCTTTGCTTTCACCGCTTTCTGTTTTTGTTTGCACATGTAAATCAGCTGATCGTTTGACACTTTTCATGAACTTACAGGAAAAAAATCTTCGGACTAAATCCTGTAACTTCTGACTAGGAACAGTTGCTCAGTTACTCTCTCAAATGTGTTCCCACTTACAGGTTTTATGTCAATAGGAACGACTTCCTGTAAGTTCTGACTAAATCCTGTAAACCGGACTGTTATTGGAACAGACTAAATGATTTGCTATTTAGAATTGTCAAAACTCTGAAGTTGTCCGACATCCACTTTATCGATTAATTAGAGAAAAGTATCGATCAAAAGAAACTGATATGACGATAACGTAGCAAAATATTACGATAAATGAGTTTTATAGTATGCTCACGTTCATAATATGGTCACGTGGATCCATAAACTCGAATTTATGGTCCATTTTTGAGTTTAACGCTAAATATGAAAATATTTCCCGTGTAAACAGCCAGAAAGTGCTTTTTGGAGATTTGCAGAAATCACTTGCGGAAATAAAAATTGCAAGGTATAACTGCAACTGAAATTATGCAAATCGCTTTCAAGAAATAATTTTAACTTGCTGCAAGTAGTTTTAAGTAGTTAAGTTAAGTAGTAGTGCAAGTAGTAGTTTTAAAGTAGTAATTTTGTACCTCAAAGTAGAAAAATCTCCAAGAAAGATGAGAAATCAATCCATCGTGCAAAGATGGATAACCGCTTGCAACCGCATGAAATTGAACAGCTGATATGATGATAAGATCAGCTGTTCAATTTCATGCGGTTGCAAGCGGTTATCCATTTCTGCTCAATACATTACTTTCTCATGGCAATACCAAAATTTAACGAAATACGATAAACGCTAGCTATCGGCTTTCACACGCTGGAACTTAATACGTAATGCAGCGTTTTTACTGCATTTAAACAGGAAGTAGCAGCAGGGCTTCAGTTTTGATTTTTTTCTATTTCGGGAAAAATCTGAACTGTCAAGCTTTACTACATTCATATACACATTCACATACACATACATAAGCATCATTTTTGCTTGCTTTTGATTTGTCGAACGTGCTTACATTTACTTCTGTTTTGACATTTTATGTTTCTCAAGCAACAACAAAATACATGGCAGGGTTGCATTTGCTCTTCTGCTACCATCAAGCCATGTTCGAATCGTGGTATTTTTCGAAGATCACAGGGTTGCTTATATCATTTCGTTTCTTAATACAGAAACGGAGTTTCATTTAGTTGTAGGTGACGAATTTTGTATGGATAAATGTGCATTTATAGTAGCATTTAGAGCTAAATGCGCTAAATGTGCTTTTACGTGTAAGCAAAAACAACCCATAATACGGCGTGCGGTATGCAAGCATTCATCGTGTATCGTACCGACGGAAAAACAATATCGATAACGGCAATCAGTAGTTGGCGGTCTCTAATTTTGCAACAGATGTTTTTCACTTGCCGAATGTAAGAAAATAAAGTTGACCTGAGATTCAAGTGTTTTGCAAATAATTAAATTTAATTAATAAAAAAGGGAGAACCCACATCGAGAAACACCGGATATATTATATAACAATATGAATAAGGTAAGTAAGCGTCATCTTAGAAGATTGGTTCGTAAAGAAAGGGAAAAGAACCGTGAAATGTTGAGGTTAAGTGAAACTGCGCAGATTAGTGCGTCTGCGCCCATTGCTAGAGTTGTCGAAAGTGGAGAGGATGTGCCAGGTAATGCGGTAAATGAAGATTTGAAAATACCTTTTTGTGAAAATCTTAAAATGTGGGCTATTCGCAATAAAATATCCCACAAAAGCCTTTCCGAACTTTTGACAATTCTTGCAAATGAAAATATTAATGTACCTAAATGCGCACGAACGATTTTATAGAGTAGCTCGCAGATTATAGTACAAAATACTAGTCCTGGATTATTTTGCAATATTGGCATTAAAACACAATTAGAAAAAATTGCCGGTGAGTTATTTAATTATGAAGCCATAATTGTCGATATAAACATCGATGGGTTGCCTTTATACCGCAGCTCTCGTATGCAATTATGGCCAATATTGGTTAGAGTTGTGAATGTGCCAAATATATCTGTGTTTGCTACTGGTCTTTATGTAGGGCGGAGTAAACCAGATTCAATAACACAATTTTTAAGTGAATTTGTTAAAGAAGTTAAAGAGCTTGAAGCTAATGGTTTTGAAAGTAATGGGCGCTGCATTACTTTCAAAATTAGGGCTTTTGTTTGCGATGCCCCAGCAAAATCTTTTCTTTGCGGGATACCAGGTCATACTTCACGTCATGGTTGTCCCAAATGCACCCAAAAGGGGGAAAAAATTGACGGCGTACTCACTTTTAGTAGGGAGGTTTGGAATATCCAAATAAACATTCACCTATGTTTGCACATAATTTATCCCCTTTAGAAGAAATCAATATTAAAATGATATCCCAAGTCCCCTTTGATGTCATGCCCCTCATTGATTTAGGTGTTATGCGCAATTTTATTTTACGCATTATTAATAACAAATGCAATTATAAGTTCAAGAAAGAAACCAAAATTAAAATATCAACAAAACTAGTAGCCTTATCTTCGAACATTACCAAAGAGTTTGTTAGAAAACCTAGATCTTTTATTGAAATTTTAAATTGGAAAGCTACCGAATTCCGCATGTTTCTCCTCTATTACGGCATTTATGTTTTAAAAGATGAAATTCCTACCGAGATATATTGGGATTTCTCCTTTTACATTGCGCTTGCAGATTAATTTTCTGCCCAAAACATTATGCTTCTAACATTGATGTGGTAAGAAATATGCTAAATTATTTGTGGAAATTTTTCCAGTAATTTTTGGGGACAATAGTGTTTCCTACAATGTACATGGCTTACTTCATATTCACGAAGATGTTAAAGAACTAGGTATACCTTCAAATTACTCGGCTTACCAATTTGNTAGGGCTTTTGTTTGCGATGCCCCAGCAAAATCTTTTCTTTGCGGGATACCAGGTCATACTTCACGTCATGGTTGTCCCAAATGCACCCAAAAGGGGGAAAAAATTGACGGCGTACTCACTTTTAGTAGGGAGGTTTGGAATATCCAAATAAACATTCACCTATGTTTGCACATAATTTATCCCCTTTAGAAGAAATCAATATTAAAATGATATCCCAAGTCCCCTTTGATGTCATGCCCCTCATTGATTTAGGTGTTATGCGCAATTTTATTTTACGCATTATTAATAACAAATGCAATTATAAGTTCAAGAAAGAAACCAAAATTAAAATATCAACAAAACTAGTAGCCTTATCTTCGAACATTACCAAAGAGTTTGTTAGAAAACCTAGATCTTTTATTGAAATTTTAAATTGGAAAGCTACCGAATTCCGCATGTTTCTCCTCTATTACGGCATTTATGTTTTAAAAGATGAAATTCCTACCGAGATATATTGGGATTTCTCCTTTTACATTGCGCTTGCAGATTAATTTTCTGCCCAAAACATTATGCTTCTAACATTGATGTGGTAAGAAATATGCTAAATTATTTGTGGAAATTTTTCCAGTAATTTTTGGGGACAATAGTGTTTCCTACAATGTACATGGCTTACTTCATATTCACGAAGATGTTAAAGAACTAGGTATACCTTCAAATTACTCGGCTTACCAATTTGAAAATTATTTACAAATACTAAAATCATACGTTAAAAAACCAACTCAAATATTGCAACAAGTAATGAATATGTTGAAACACGAAAAAATTGTAACTGCGCCAAAATTTACTGGATTTCATATTAAAAACAATTGTGTAAGTTTTCATTTTAAAGATTTCATCTTACCCAATAAATATCCGAATAATTACTGTATATACTAATTCAACAATTTGGGGACGTAAATAGTAAAACTATAAAGGGCAAAAAATTATTAAATTTAGAGAATTTTTTTCACAGAACCAATCGATTCCTGCACATTAGGGATATGTACTGCAGACACCACTTCATTGGGCAATGAAGAGGAATTTTCTCTAGATGATGTTGAATTCAAATTGATGTGCATTCCATTTAAAGAGAAACTTCTCCGCATTCCCATTTTACACATTTGCATGTGATTTCTTTACGATCTTTAACTTTTTACCATTTTATTTTTTAACTTTTATATAACTGAGATAAAATCATTAACCTTTTTATTTTTTTCGAGCACCTTTTTAAAAAATACGGAGCGCAAAACCCAAGCACGTCGGCGGCGGCAATCCCGATAAAAAAGGCAAAATGTAAGTATACAATCGTTTCTGTTGATATTAAAGTATAACGTTAAAATAATGTTCCAGATACGACCGAGAATAAAATGCTGTTACAAAACAGCTCAAGACGCGTCAGTTTGACCAGTGAATGCACCATAGGTAAATAATTCTTTTTATATATTTATATATTTTAATATTTTTTTTAGAATCGCGGAGAATAAGTGTATCAACATCGGCCATAGAGGCAAATGGTATGTTTTAAACCCAAATATTCATCTTATTATCAAAACCATATACAATTTTAGATAAAATTTACACATATATGAACATTGAAAAATTTGTTTCCACTCTCAGGAGACACTGCCAAAATGCCGTTTAAGGAATTGACACCAGAAGACACGGTTAGAAGCGCACTTAAATTTGAAAAGGCAAAGTATTTCAAAAAAGCATATAGACAAAAGAAGAAAAATGTTGAAAATTAAATTTTAAGTTTATCAAATTTATGAATTGTCTTTTTTTGTTTTTTGTTCTTTTATTGATCTCAATATTAACTTTAAGGCTCACGAAACCCAATTACAAATGAAAATGAATTTAAATAAATAATATAAAAACAACTTTTTAATATACAACGCTTTTATAAATGGACTAAAAAGTAGAAAATAATATTTCTCAGTCCCATAGAATTTGTTTTGATAACTTTTGATTTTGAAATTTTAGCAAAAGTCATTATAAACAATCTATGAAATTGAAAATGAAAAACGTGGAGCGCATGCAATACAAAGCATTCGATTTAATTGACAATAGTCAAACTACATAACGTAGACCTAAAATTTCTACAGCGAAAGTAGAACTTTGAAATCGATTTTAAGCGGTCGTTATTCATATACCCACATACATACATTCATATATTACTTTTCATATCAATTCAAGTGTATTACATGCGCCCCACGCTTTTCATTTTCAATTTCATAGATTGTTTATAATGACTTTTGCTAAAATTTCAAAATCAAAAGTTATCAAAACAAATTCTATGGGACTGAGAAGTATTATTTTCTACTTTTTAGTCCATTTATAAAAGCGTTGTATATTAAAAAGTTTTTTTTATATTATTTATTTTCTACTTTTTAGTCCTGTCTGAATAAAATTTTGCAATAGATATTAAAATAATTCAACGATATTAATAGAAAGGTGCACACACATGCATTTACATATGTATGTACATACAAACGAGCACCAATTAATTTTATTTAAAGAAATGGCGTGTCGTCTATTTCCGCTGTAGCAAACGTAGTACATAGGGCGACATCTAGATGTCATCTACCTCGCCCTATTCACTACAGATGTCGCCCTATGCACTATGCTTTTTTATAGGAACTTTTCAAAGCAAAGCTTTTATGGTGTCGGACACACAACATTGAAAGTTTCTGGATCCACAACATTGAAAGTTTCTGGACACACAACATTGCGAGTTGATAAAAGCGTTGTAAAATGAAATTAATATTAGACTTTAGAATAAGAAAGCACAGAATCTGAAATTAACTTAAAAGATTAAACAAATGAAAATGAATTTGAATATGAATATGAAATAAATGTAGATAATAGACGGTTTTAGAATAAGAAAGAATTTAATTTGAAAATAAGAAATAATTGAACTTTTAAGTTATTGAAATTAATGAAGTGCAACTTTTTTATATAAAATATCTTTATATTAACTTAAAGGCCAAAGAAACAAATGTACAAATGAGAATGAATTTAAAAATTAAATTAATGTAAATACTAGACTGTTTTAGAATAAGAAACGATTTAATTTTAAAATAATATTTTTTAATTAATGAAATTAATGAAGTGCCACTTTTTCTATAAAATATCTTTATATTAATTAAGACTAATGAAACAAATGTACAAATAAAATGAATTTAAAAATGAAATGAATTNTTTTCTATAAAATATCTTTATATTAATTAAACAAATGTACATATAAAATGAATTTAAAAATGAAATGAATTTATTTATTGCTCTGTTTTAGAATAAGATTTTTTATAGTTTGTTACAAATAATATAAAAATATCTAATTAAAAGCCATGCAAGCGCACTAAAAAATTTATATATAGTGTTTATTATTTGTATTAACGATGAAACGATTCTAAAAAGGTAAGAAAAATACTATACACGATTGGAATACAAAGAGACTAGTCCCATTATATGCCCGATTTGTCTGAAAACGGACTACGCTACTTTCATACCCGTTCGGGTATAAAAGGGTACAATTAGTCTCTTCATAGGACATGCCCGAACAAAAGGGAACAGTTCAGTCCATACAAAGGGATGCAAAGTGGCATTAGTCGCAT